AGCTGTTAGGTGTTTCATCCCGTACACGCATAATGACACCACAAAACACTTATCCAAAGAGCCTCAAATCTCAAGGTCGAATTTTGAAGTTCAACTTTCACTTTTCTTGTAAAATAATTTTGTTTGTGTCGTGAGATCTTATGTGAGCAGCCATATAATAATTCTAATTCATTATGAACATTTATCGGTGTATTCACTGTGTAGTGCATGGAAAAAGATGCTATTGAGATGGCTAAGACTGCGCAGAATAAACAGTGGTTTAGTTGCGGTCACCGGGTTGCTTGGACCCTATGGTCCGAGGTTCGAGCCCCGTCATCGTCATCCCACTTTGGTGGTAAGCAGCTTTGCTGTCGTCCGGTGCAATACTACACCTAACATATCGGGGCCCTATGCGGTTCGATACTCTAAGTCCCGGGGATTAGGTTACTGGTTTCCATCACTGAACAGCAGGTCCTCGTGACTATAGGACTTTCCCCGTCCGCTGTTCATCACAAGAGTGTGTAATTAAAAAAAGTCCCAGAAGAAGCAACAATCGATCATTAGAAAGAACGAACTGCTATGTTGCTTTACACCAAATATTTGCCAACATTGGGCTGTAGCGCTCAAATTTTATCCTGGTACGTAAGGTCACGCCAATTCTGATAAAAAAAACATTGCATGGGGAGATAAAGTTCGAAAATCGATATGCAAATATGATATTGGAAATGAAATATTGTTCTCAGTTGAAGATCACGTTGCACGAGTTTGACTAGCACGGGTAGTTTACCTCTCGTTGCACACACGAAAACAACGCAAAAAACATCTAGATAGGAAAGTGCCCAGGTAGCACTGTAATCGATGATTGCAACTGTTGAATCCTACATCAGTGCATTTTCCTACGCTGAATTGGAAAGAAGGAAAAGCTGCGTTTCTTTTTTGTTTCACTGAGAGCACACTGCAATTGCCACAATCTCTTGTTTTTCGACAAATGACTACACGTCAGATGCATTTGAAAAATCATGGAAAACACTATTATTATGGTAAAAGTAACAAATAAAGCTTAAAAAGGACGTCTTTTTAGCCGAATGAACACCAAAACCATTAGTTCTAGATAGATTTATCCTCTGTTTCTCCTCATGCAACTCGACCATTTTGTTTGCCGGCAGAGAATTTTGATTGGTGTAGTGTTCATGCGGTTCCGCCATACACAGGGTCGGACTTCATAAAAGACTACGAACTGATCGCCCGTTTTGATAAACCAAGTACCAGTGCTCATTGTTTCTATGGTTTTCGATACAATCAATCCAAGTAATTTAATCGTCTTCCTTTCTAGTTTATGCAAAATGATATCTTGTTTGGTTACGCAAGAGAACGGTATGGTATTAATGTTATAATTTCACAAGGCGGTGGGTGCTCAGTTGAGGATAGCTGTTTATTGTAGATTACAATTTGGATATCACTTATTTGGCATACATAATACAGAAATCTCATCTGAAGCATACCATCGAAGTTCTTGGCAGCGCACCGGGTAATGCATGGAGCAGACAGTAGTTATTCTTTGGGACACAGCACTTTGCTCTCGGTGATCTTTCGATCGTTGAGAGAAACCACCACGAATCGCACTATTTTCACTACTACTCACAAATGCGAGTAGGCCCTCAGGACACTACGACTGGCAAGAGCCGTGCAGCAGCTGTTCGCCATCACTTGTACAGTTAAACACACATTGGGTAGCAAAGTGCAGAGGAGATGGAATCCACTGACGCGATGAGTAGACCCGTACATACGGATAGGAATGAAACTGTTCACTTACCATCATAGTACACGAGGCCGCCAACCAGTTTGTCCTGTTTGAGCAAGGGAAAACGCTCCAACACCTGAGGTTTGCTCAAATAATAACTGGCTTTCAGGATCTGGCCGCCAGAAATCAAATCGTACATTTTGATTCCGGCCCAAAAGTAAGGAAGTTGCCACCAACTGCATGTGTCAAAAACAAAAGGCGAAAACGAGGGGGTGGGGGTATAGTTGAGGGCGTGTGTGGGTTACCATGATAATATGAACAACTATTTCACCGACGACGAGGCATGTTTCAATAGAGAAACAATGATTCGAAAAAATGTACGATGTGAGTAGGTTAAATAGTAGAGAATCATCCCCAGAGAAAGAATAATTGAACTCATGCAACAGAATAGTTTTGTCATCTCGCTAAACTGCGTACCGCCCGCATTCCGATTGTTTCCTCGTTCTCACTCAATCGATGCTCTATTCACTGGGAACATGCAATTCATTTAAACAGTGGCACGAAACGTTTTCAGTATGACTCAGGTGCAATTAAGAACCATAACCAAGTCACAGCGTCATTTGATGGAATCGTTCGAGCAGGAGTAGGACGGTGTGTGTGATGGTTATGGTATGTGAATGGAGCAAACGATTATGTGGACAAGTACGAGATAGAAAAATGACTGCAACGGAGAGGTTAATTGATGGGAAAAACGCGCATGCATTTAGTCACACCCAAACAGACAGAGTTGATGCTAAAAAGGCATTTGGATAATATGTCCACCCAACCAGCCCCCTCTCCTATGCTTGAGTGTCCGAGGCCCTGTGGCTT